AACTGAAAGTGGCACACAAAGGAAAGAAACCTTCACCGGACACATACGTGGAGAAAGAGGCACTTACCCACTCGTTCCAGGTCTCTGGGTCTGAGAGAAGCGCCAGTCTGTGTTAGGCTGAGCTTGCTGCAGAGAAAATAGAAGAGTTTTAATACCTCCATTCTTGCCTTTGAAAATGAATGTGAACTGATCCTGGATTATTTCAGTCTGGAATATCAGCATGTTCTTTCCAAGTAAAGCAAATCAATTAGAACAAAAAGAAGCCCCCCTCCTTTCCTGAGTATTTCTGAACCAGTGTGAATACTAAAAAGCATGACAAAAACTATTCAGCGAATAATCTTCCAAAGCAGCTCAGGAAACCAGGCTGTGAAAGAAATGAAGCATGAAATAAACTGATAAGGGCATCAATTCAGCAGCAGCAATGGTACCAAAGTAATGAGCTTGGAGAAGTGTGGGGGTGGGGGTGACAGGGTTAACTGATACCAAGATGCTTTTAATGCCAGAAGGTAAAATGATAACAGACCTTCCTAATCTGTCCGTCTTCTGTCCTTAAAAAGCCCTGCCTGAGATCTTGATTTCACACATTGTATTTGAATGACTTTTCCTAGATGCTGTGGCCTCAGAGCATGACAATATTTTTCTGTCCACAGAGAAAAGAATTAACTTCCGACAGCAAAAGAAAAAAGAATTATTTGTTTAGGAGACACAATAAACTTTGGACACAGCAGCACACTTTGTAACTTCATTAGTAAGCCCTCGTATCACTTTCTGCCTGTGTTATTTTACCATCAGACAATGGACATTTTGTAAATAAGGAAGGACATGAAGCAGGCTTGCATATTCCTGCTTGAATCACGCCTTTGTGAAGAGCACTAAATAGCAGAACTATTTTCTGTCTGGAACACGCATACTTCCGAAAATCATAATCTTCTTAATTAACTCCAGAATGATAACATGCTACGTGGAAAGGACAACATTTCTCTCAGTTACCTTAGGAATGAGCAGTTCATAGTCCATACAGTGCAACATCAATTTTATAGGATTATTCTTCTTGTACATGCAATTACTAAGGAAAAGTGAAGATGGGTACAGCTGACCTAGATTTTTATTTAGTAGATGTGATTTCACTAATTTCTCCACAGCTTTGATGATTCTCATGAAAGAATATATTAGAATAAATTACTCCCCTAAAATAGAGGCCCCACTGGTACCCATGCTGCATGCAAATTAAGCTGTTTAAATACTTGCCCTCCAGATTTCAGATACACGCTTTTGCACATGCTGACACACAATCCTGCACTAGATAAGCCCTTCCCAATCTATATTTTGAATTCCTGTTGTAATTACCCGTTTCAAATTTAGGGCAGGCATTTATGACACAAAATTACTTTACTTTTTATATCCCAACGTTATAAAAGCTACAGCTAAACACAGTCACCTACATCCATATTTAGACATCTGAATGCAAGTGGCTAAAGTTTTCAAAGCTCGCCTCTGCCTAGGTCTCTGCAAGCCCAAGGGCACATAAGGTCACCAGAACCTTTGCGAAAAATGTCACTACATTCAGTGCTGAATAGTGAATTCAGCCCCTCGCTCAAAATGACCAAGCCGGAAAATGATCCCTTGCCAGGCACAATCTGTAATTAACAACACTTGGGAGTTAAGAAGTGAGAAATTTCTACGATGCACCTCTAAAACAGAGCAAAAGAGACACCGACAAACTTTGCTTTCAGATAACCTCCTCCTGCATCACAATTCTTATGCCATGCAGAATAAAGGGGTTAAACAGAATCAAAAACTTAAACACCCAAAAAACATGTTTCTGACCATGCTAAGAATCACTTTAAAGAGTACGAACGAGGCCAAGGGAAAACTCTCCACCTCTACAAACACACAGTCTTTGATTTTATAGTGCCACCCAGCCCCCTCCCCCAACTCCATCGAGCCGAGCCAAAGCTTTCATCTGCCACCTCCCAAGAGGTGACGGTGACACATGTTCCCTGAAGCCACCTTCTTAGGTGGAAGGACAGATAAAGAACAACCAGTTGGCCTGGATATTATGGACCGTTGTGCTTAGCAGACAGGACAGTAAGAAACACCCATCTCTTACCCCATCACAGGGACTCGCTAAGGTGCTGGTCACCTGCTCATAGGCAGCCACAGTCTCCGCAGTGGTAGAATGGCTGAAAGGTTTTACAAAGAGGAAATCGCTCTGGTCAGACATGGGAGAGAAACAAGAGCTGTAATTCTGTGCCTGGGAGGTCAAGCCCGCTCCTCCCACATCCAGGTACTTGATGAAGCCATCTGGCTTCATCTGCCCACGGAAATGGGAGGCGGGCTTGCGGCCAGTCCCTCGGCAGCAACCCGCAAAGGTCCAGCTGGCAGTGCCAGCTTTGAGACACCGGGCAGCCACCACAGCAAACATCACGCAGGACACAAGGGAAATGGACACCAAGGAGATGATGAGGTAAAGTGTTAGGCTGCTATCCTTGGGAGAAGATTTGGGGAGGTCCAAGGACTTGGCAAAGTCCTGCACACTGTTTTTCTCTGGAGAAATTACTATTACCACGGAGGCCGAGAGGGACGGTGTCCCATTGTCCCTCACTTCGACCACCAGCCTGTGGGGATCTTCTGAATCCCTGAGAGTCTGTGCAACCTTTATCTCTCCAGAGCGGCGTTCCACTTGGAAAGGCAAAGCCTCAGTAGTCTCCTGCAGCTGGTAGGACAGCCAGGCATTATGGCCACTATCAGCATCAACAGCTACAATTTTGGTGACCAGATAGCCAGGTTCTGCCAAGGCCGGGATGGTTTGGTGGAAGGCAGAGCCCTTGGGGACGGACGGGTAGACAATGGTGGGGGCATTGTCATTCTCATCCAGGACAAATACATGGACCACAGCAGTACTACTCAGCGCAGGAGACCCAGCATCCTTCACCTCCACAGGCACCTGAAACACCTTATCCTGCTCATAGTCCAGAGCTCTCACGGTGTAGATGGTGCCATTGTCCTGGTCTATTCGAAAGTAGGTTGAGACGGGCACATCCTGCATCCCGTTGTGCAAGATGGAATAAGACAGCTTGGCATTGCTACCCTCATCGGGATCAAATGCTGACACTGAAAAAACGGAAGTTCCAGGAAGGGAGTTTTCCTGAACATGAGCTGTATCAAAAGGGCTGGAGAAATTTGGCGCATTGTCATTCACGTCAGCAATTTGGAGGTAAAACATTTTTTGCGTGGCCCTCTGTGGGGACCCTGAATCCACAGCCCTCACTGTGATGTTGTATCCACTGGCCTTCTCCCGATCAAGGGGACCATTTGTGACCAGCGAGAAATGCTCTTTAAAAGATGACACCAGTTTAAATGGGAGCTCTTTCGCTATCTGCAGACGGACCTGCCCATTGTCACCAGAATCACTGTCCTTCACACCAATGAGGGCAATCACAGTGCCCGGGGTTGCGTCCTCCTGCACTGGGCTGGAGAGAGAGGTCAGCACAATCTCTGGGCTGTTATCATTGATATCGATTAATTCCACTCGCAGGTGACAGTGTCCTTCCATGGCTGGGGATCCCTTGTCCCTGGCTCGAACTGCAATCTCGTAAGCACTGGATTCCTCATAATCCAGCAGGCCTTTGGTTCTGATCTCCCCTGTCCGGGGATCTAAGGAGAACAGCTTGGTAAATTTGCCAGGTGCATTATTGCTAGTTTTGAAAGAATATTCCACGTCCCCGTTGGGACCTTCATCTAGGTCGGTGACATTCAGCTTGGTGACCAGAGTGCCCACTGGCACATTCTCCTCCAGATGTACCGTGGATATGGGTGGGTCACAGACAGGAGGGTTGTCATTTGCATCCAGGACATGGATGGTAACCTTGGCAGTGCCAGATTTCACCGGATTCCCTCCATCCAGGGCTGTCAGCGTTAGGTGATGAACAGCCACTTTCTCTCTATCCAGTGCTTTTTGCAGTACAATCTCGGGCATTTTAACACCATCTCCTCTCACGTTGATACTCAGGGTGAAATGCTCACTGGGGCTGAGCTCGTAGGTGGAGATGGAGTTGGAGCCCATATCTGGGTCTTCCGCTACCTCCAAGGGTAGCCGAGTCCCAGGGTTGGCTACCTCCGTGATCTCCAAGACCACCTCCGGCTTGGGGAACTGAGGTGCGTTGTCATTCACATCGAGGACGTCCACCTCAACACGGTGGAGCTGCAGGGGATTCTCCATGACGAGCTGGAGGTGTAGGGAGCACGTGGGGCTCTGCCCACACAGTGCCTCCCGGTCCAGTCTGCTGTTGAGAAGCAGCACACCCGCTGCCAGGTCCAGTTGCCGCTGCCCACCCTCGCTCACCAGGCGCAGGTTGCGGGTGGCCAGGCTCTGCACCTCCACCCCCAGGTCCTTGGCCAGGTCGCCCACCGAGGAGCCCGGCTCTCGGTCCTCGGGCACTGAGTAGCGGAGCTGGGCGCTGCTGGGAGCCGGCAGGCAGGAGAGGGCTGCGAGCAGCAGCGGGAGCTGCCATGGCAGACTCCGTCCCCCAAGCATCCCGTGCCGGGTGTGCGAGCAGAGCAGAGCGGAGCAGAGCGGAGCAGAGCGGAGCAGAGCGGCGGCGGCTCCGCGCCCCGAGGGGGTCCGAGCGGGTTGCGCAGGGAGGAAGACGCCGCCGGAGCCGGGCAGGGAGGGATGGAGGGAGCGGGGGGGGCGATCGCAGCCCGGCCGGCTGAGCCGCTCCTCGGCACGCAAAGGCACGCAAAGGCACACAAAGTCGGCGAGCGGAGGGGCTGGACCGAGTGACAGTTTTACGTCTCTCCACAGCCCCCTCCTCCTCCTCCTCCTCCTCCTTTTTCTCTCCCTCCTCCTCCTCCTCTCCCTCCTCCGCCGCCCTCTCCAAAATACGCACGGCGTAGCTGGGAGCGGGCACCGGCGGGCACCCCCTCCCCAAAGCCAGTTGGGGGTTCCGCATCCCGAACCGCTCCGGTGCCGAGCCCCGCAGACGCCGGGGCTGCGGTTAGGCTGGGGAACACGCTCCCGAGCTCACCTCGCTGCACAGGGTGGGATCCGGCGGGTTGGCACCGGCTGGACCCGCGGAGGGTTTCACAAACATGAACTCGCTGATGTCCGAGACCGGCGAAAAGCAGGAACGGTAACGCGGGGCAGGGGGTGCCGTGGCCGTCACCTGGACGCCCATCACCGTGTCCCCTTGCTTAGGCTCATAGTGCAAGTGCCCAAAAATGTGGCTGGGAGGGGGCTGAAGCGTGTTCACGCTCTCCACACAGCAGCCCTGGTTGGCAGGTGCAGAGCCCCGCCGGAGGCACCGCACGCCCAGTGCTGCCAGTCCCACCAGTGAGACAGTGGAGATGAGCACTAGGGACACAATAAGATAAAGTGTAATCGTGGGTAAGCCCCCACCGTCAGCGGCCCGAGCCTCGGAGCCCTGCAAGGCCTCTGGGCCCTTCTCCTCCACCAGCACCACCAATGTGACGGCTGTGGAGAGTGGGGGCTCCCCAGCGTCCCGGATCACAACCAGCAGTTCATGTGCAGAGGCATCCGTCTCCTGCAGGGCCCGTGTGATCCGGATCTCTCCAGAACGCAGAGCCACGCTGAAAAGCCCTGGGTCTGTGGCTTCCACGAGGTGGTAGGAGAGCCAGGCATTGCGTCCCGAGTCCGCATCTATTGCCACCACCTTGGTGATGAGAGCAGGAGGGGCAGTGGATGGGGAGATTCGGAACTGGGTAGCGGAGTCCTCCCCGGCTCTGGGGAAATGCACCCGTGGGGCATTATCGTTCTGGTCCACTATAAAAATGTGAACCAGTGTCCTGTTCCTCAGGGCCGGGGAGCCGCCATCAGAGACCTCCACGTGGAACTGGAGATAGGAGGTTTGCTCATAGTCAAAGGGGAGTTTGGCAGAGACCTGCCCACTTGTGGGATGTATGGAGAGGTAGCGAGTCGGATCCAGGCCTGGATCTGTCCCACCAGCTCGCAGGATGGAGTAGGAGAGGCGGGAATTCTGCTCCGAGTCAGGGTCGGCAGCAGAGACTGTAACCAGCACGCTGCCCACCGGGTTGTTTTCTGCCACCAGCACTTCATAGGACGCTTGCTCAAACTGAGGCGCGTTGTCATTGACATCTGCGAGGGCGATTGGCAAGATAGTGTGGTGGGAGAGCGGGGGACTGCCCAGGTCCGAGGCAGAGACGGTGACGTTGTAGTAGGCAACGTGTTCCCGGTCCAAATGGGTGCTGGTTAGCAGCGAGTACTGGTGCTCATAGTCCTTACGCAGCTGGAAGGGAAGATCTGGAGACACATGACACTGGACCTTGCCCTGCTCACCAGAGTCCCTGTCTCTGACGTGTATCACGGCCACCACTGTGCCCGGAGGTGCATCCTCACTCAGGGAGCTGGAGAAGGAGGTAAGAATAACCTCAGGGGCATTGTCGTTCACATCAGTGATTTCCACCACCACGCTGCAGTGCTCCTCCATTGTGGGTGATCCCATGTCCTTGGCCTCCACTTCAATCTCATACACTGTTGCCTCCTCGAAGTCCAGGTTGCCCTGGACACGAATCTCCCCAGTTTGCTCATCGATGACAAAGATCTGGCGTAAGGCAGCTGAATTGTGGCTGCTGAGGGAGTAGCGGATGTCTCCGTTGGGCCCTTCATCCACATCGGTGGCATTTAACTTCACCACGAGGGTGCCCAGTGGCGAGTTCTCCACCAAGCGGGCTCCATATGACGGTCTGTCAAAGACTGGGTGGTTGTCATTGGCATCCAGGACCTGAATAGTGATGTGTGTCTTGCTGGACTGGGGGGGAGAGCCCCCATCTTCAGCGGTCAGGACCAGGTGGTGGAAAGCTCTGAGTTCCCGGTCCAGGGCCCTCTCCAGCACCAGCTCAGGGAACTTCCCACCATCTGTGTGTGCCTTCACATTGAGGTTGAAGTTCTCATTGGCACTCAGGTGATAGGTCTGCAAGGTGTTGGTGCCCACGTCAGAGTCCTGGGCAGGCTGGATGGGGAAGCGGGCACCAAGGGATGCCAGCTCATAGATGCTCAAGGAAACCTCATCACTGGGGAACTCCGGGGGGTTGTCATTGATATCCAGGATCTCTACCTCGATGCGGTAAAACTCCACTGGGTTCTCGATGGCAAGTTTCAGGTGGAGGAAGCAGCGGGCATTCTGCCCACAGAGCTGCTCCCGGTCTATCCGCTCGCTGACCATTATAACGCCGGTGTTCACATTGACCGAGAAGTACTGGGAATCCGAATCGGACAGTACCTGCAAGTTAGCTGCCGCCAGTTTCGCCACATCGGTGCCCAGGTCCTTCGCAATATTGCCCACGAAGGCACCCCGGGTGAGCTCCTCGGGGATGCTGTACCGGATCTGAGCAGAGGAGCTGTGCAAGAAGAAACAGAAAGAGAAGACACGCGGCAGTCCCAGGGACCGGCCCGCCTTCCCTGCCCTCGGCATCCTTGCCGGGTGGGCGGCCGGGGAGCGATGCCCTCCGCGCTCCGAGGCCGCGCTCAGCGCTCGCCGCTCCCATTCATTGTTTGGGGCGGACGCGGTTGGACGAGGGCGGGGGACGCCGGGGCTCCGCGCAGCCGCCTCGCCATTGGTTCCGAGCTCCGCGCCGCTCCTCCAATCGCCGCTCTCCTTTCCCAGGACAGCAACACC